CCCTATAAATATGTATGGAAGTCACATGTCTGATAGAAAATGAGTGAGGAATGAAGGGCCCACTTTTTCTTTTTGACCTCTGTTTTTTCAGCTGAAGTTTCTGATTTTATGCATTTAGGGGGTTGTGGGGCATTTAGTCCATGACCTATATCGTGCGTACCAGCTCACACATTTATATTTTTCTCTCCGCCTATACATACACCCAAAACTGTATATCTATCTCTATATTTTCTTGAATAAACCATGAAAAATGCACATATTGGGCAAATTTGGGACCTACCACGCTAACCCAACATTTTGATGTAAATTTTTTCCAAAACTAGACGTGGCTTACGCCATTAGAAACTAAATTTCAGTTAGTTGTGATTCTCACTTCTCTCTTCTGATTCGTGGGTATTTATATTTGTAGTTTGCTTTATGTTACTTCAACAAAGAATCGTGTAGCCTAAAATCAGATATTTCTAGTTTCGGAGCTTGTTCTTCCATGGGAAAAAAGGTAATTTTTTCTGACCTTTTAAGGGTTAATATTTTTCCTTTTCTTGATAATATTAATCTTTTACTTTCTGGGTTTTTCTTGGAATTAAATATTAAAAGGGTTTCTTTAATGGGTTTCATCAGAATTTCAAGCAGAGCTTCAAGCTGAAGATGGTTTCAATCTTCAATCTTATGGTTTAGGTGAGCAAAATATGTTGATATTTCATTAAAATATACATTGGATGTTTTGGGAATTTAATTTGTTCTAATTTTTCTTTATTTTATTTTATTTTTTTATTTTTATTTTTCTTTATGTAGTTTTGTATTAATAAAAGTTGCTATTTGGTTGGATTAAGTTATTTTATTGGGCTTATTTGAAATAGCTTTTTGCTTCCCGTTATACACTTTTATATGATTGTTGCTTCTCTGAATGTGAGAGAGGTGTGAATCTGCCTGGGCTGATGCTATTTGTATGAACTTCGAAGCTTCCTGCATAAGTTATCAGAGCAGCAATATGGTGATGTAGGACAGAAATTGAGTTCGAAAATAAAAACATATACAACCCATAAAAACTCGAAGCTGCCCAGGATAATGATCTTTGGTGAGAATATTAATGGACAATATATTATGGCCCCGTTTGGGAGTGATTTTTCACCTCCAAAAAATTGATTTTTTCACCGTTATTTTACTATTCCAGCCGTAATTTTTAACTTCTTCTTTTATAGGCGGCCCCACTTTTCTCCTAACTGTCAAAAAATCAATTCTCAAAATTACTACCGTACAGCCCTATGAATAGAAGTTGAACAATGCCATTGGGGAGATTCTGTCATAAGAATGATAACAAACTCGAAACTTTTGTAAATGGGATTATGTAATCTGAACATGAATTCTGCCTATGTTTTTTTCCTTCTATTATTTGGTAACTAATATATAAAATTTCTTAAGCATTTTTCATTTTCATCAATTAGTTATAATAAATGTAACTGTCATTTCGAAAAAAAGAATATTTTATTATTAGTATCTGTGATTGCTTCTTATGTTATGTTTATCTTACCTCTAGCAATAGATTATTTCCTAGACTGTAGTTAATAATTGTTAAAAGAATGGAGGACAATGTTCTTCAGTCTAACTTTATCATACATTAGTTATTGTTTTGCATGCCTTTTTGTTTTTGTCAGAAGAGGGAGGATAGATCAAAACTAACATAGCCTGTGGTAGTTATTAATGAATTTAGCTATGACTTGAACATAGCAGTGGAAAAAGGTTTTTTAGCCGACCATTATTAGGTAAATGATTAGTTGTTTGTTATTTTGTTTTTCTCCACGATGCTTGTTCCTGTTAAAGTTAGCATTTTCTTTCTTGCTTTTACATTTCATTTTCTTTAGTACGCATTGATTAACTGTTTCTCCAATTCGTTTCCAGATAGTTTCATAACAGTAGAAAGGTCAATGCCAACTGGTATATGTTTAGCTTGCATATGAGAAGAAGCCAGAAGTGAACAAGTGTTTGTTTATTTTAAGTTTTTCTCTGTTGTTGGAGTTAGAAGATGGAAAACATAAGCATCCATCTGGGGAAAGATGATCAGAACGATGAAGTTTCGGTGGAATTCGCAAGTGAAAATTTAGAATCAGCTAATGAAAATATTTTGTGCAAAAAATTTGTAAGAAAAATAGAGCCAGAGCATACTCTGTTATTAAATGTTAGGAGATCACGAACTAGTGGAAATTGCGGTGAAAACTTCCTCCTTCATAGCGTTCATGGTTTACATAGTAAAATTCCAATGCATATCATAAGCTTTGATGAGAAATACGTTCTTCGTTGCCTTGAAATGATACGCACATACGCATTGAGGGCAGCAGTACAGAGTTTTTCTTCAAAACTGGATATTTTGTCAGATACCAGCAGAATTTCATATAAAATGGCTAGGTTAGGCACTCAATTTCCTTTGGTTGTGGGAACTGAAAACATTGCCGTAAGCTCTACTAGAGATTGGATCATAAGCAGGGTGACTGGTAGCAAGAGTATGATGAACATCTTGAAGAGCTCATTACTTCACCAATTTCGCACTTTGGACAGTGATGTCAATTCTGGAAGAAGTATACTTGATGCCAGTCGACCAGTTTGTTCAGATTCTGTGAATTCTAGCAGTTCATTGCATAAGATACAAAAGGACGTTACTGTTCTTGATCGTGGATATGGATCTGCACGTGCACATAAAAGGCACATATCCCTATCAAGCACAAACTCTACTTATTCTGACCAGACGTCTTCTTCTTTATCTTCTGCGATGTATCAAGGAATGCTGCAAATTATATGGAAGGATGGGTTACCACACCTTGTTTTCTCCATAGATGACAAGGAAGTCTATGTAGCCAATTTGTCCAAGGCTGAGTCACCAGAAGATAAGATTTTGGATTATGTCTACATGTTTCATTCAAGTAAAAAAGGACGCAAAGAATGTGATATTCGTGAACACAAGTTAGAACTCGTCGGGAAGATGCGAGTTTCTTCTTCAATCACATTATGTTCAAACAACTCGGAAATACGGGAAACTCATTATGTTCTATTTGGCCTCGATGGCAATCCCATAGGAGAGACACAGGCCTCAAGTAATGGCCTTGGGAAGAGATTGACAAGGAAGGTAGTGAATGCTTTCAGGTCAAAGCAGAGATCATCTTCCAAATTTGAGGGAACAAGTTCAATCTTTGAAGATAGTTCTTGTGAACCACCTCAAGGCTTGCAAAAGAGTCTTGATCCAGATGATGGCAGTGCAGAAAATCAACATGTTTCAAATCTTGAGTTGGCAGCCATTGTTGTGAGAGACCATTATTGCAACAGCCGTAAGGAGTCAAAACTTGGAGGATGGGGGCTAAAATTTCTAAAAAATTCTGGAAATCATCCATCTCTAGAGACCTCAATACCTTCTGAATTTTGTCCACGAAACAGTGGTGAATGCTCAACTAGCATGAACATTCTCTTGCCAGCAGGTTTTCACGGGGGACCAAGAACCAGAAATGGAGGTCCTTCAACTCTTATTGATAGGTGGATCTTTGGTGGGGGCTGTGACTGTGGCGGCTGGGATATTGGATGCCCCCTAACAATACTCAATGCCACGTCTAGCGACACTGATGCTTCCTTCCAGTCAGAAAATTCCGAGGAATGCAAGTCGTATAATTTCTTTATACAGGTTTGTCAAGTGCCTTGTGTCCTTCGCTTTCTTTATTTTAATTTCTATATATCATTTTTAAGGCTTTTCTTTTTTAATTTCCTATTGTAATTTTCTAGTGCAATATTGTTACATGATGCTTTTACATTGGAACCAGAGGCCGAGCTAGAAAATTATGTTGATTGCGCTAAATCATATTTTGGCAGCACTAGTATATATACAAAGTCCACATAAAATTTTGTTCCCCACATTTCGTGGGTGCTGTAGCTAGCCCCCCAAGTCCGCCTTCTGATGGGAACTCTGACCTTTTCTTTCTTTTGCCTTCTTATAAAACTTGAATATGGAAAATATGCATTTACTCGGTAAAGAAATTACATTAGCTGATTACCGATTTTGCAGGGTTCGAAGCGAAACACACCCATCATGAAAATGTTGAACATCCACGATGGTTTGCATTATATCCATTACCAATCAACTCTATCGGCACTACAATCTTTTGCTATAGCTGCTGCAATTATTCATTCTCATAGCCCTGCTCTGCGATCCAAAGTGTACAGCAGTTGAGGGCACAAAGTTCAGGTTTTAGTTTGCACAAAATACAGCTTTCACACGTGTGAAGTGATTTACATAATTTATTTACCATTTGCTAAGATGCTGAGTCCTGTATCATGGTATCTGCTGCTTCTAATGCTTATTTGGCTTCTATTTTTGAGGTTACTTGGCCTAGTTGTGTAACTAACATATCTGCATTACTTAATCCAACATACAGATTTCCTCTTCTGGGAAATAAATATTGAATGTGCTAAATTTCAGTCAGTTATCTGCATAAAAGGTGTGATTATCGTTATGTAATTAAGTGGGTCTTGTTTATCACTTCAGCTATTGAACTTCAGTGTGACGACAAGGCTGGCATGGACTATTTCATTTGCTAAATGACCAACATTAGATTTAGCCCATATGAAAATATAATTAAAATCCGGGGTGTTACAGTTACTTCGCATACTAAATGGGATTTAATTTGAATGCAGGGACTATACTACGAGTTTGACTGAAAAATAAATAGAATATGAAGGTCTTGAATCATTGATTTATGCTAATATTTATATTTATTTAAAGTGTTTCACATTGCAAAAATTGATTTTTGAATAGAAAGTATTTTTAAAAGTATCTGTAACAATTGATATTTGACTTGAATTGCAAGATTTCCTTTTACACAGTGCAGTCAAGATGAACACGAGAACTGACGTAGAAATTGTTGCAGAAATGTTCTTATTTGTTTCTGTAAGCTTCCCTCCAAAGTTCTGGGGCACAAATCAGCTTTAATTAAAAAAAAAAAAAAAAAAAGGATCGATGCTTTTTCTAGAGAACTTTCTCGAAGGAATTTTTGATGAAATAATTAAAAATGACTTTTAATGATACATTCTCTTTGTTGAAATTGAAATTTCTTGTAGTATCGTCTCTGAATGTGTAATTTTTTACATCACAAATGAATAGCTTATTTTATCATCTAAGTGGTGATTTCTAGATGGGGATATGAATTTATTCATAATTGTTGAAAAATACGGTCTTAGATATTCCACGTGGGGTAACCCGACCCTCAAAACATTAAGATGGATTGAAAGGAATTGTTTGATTTAACGTAGTGTAATTTCAACCTTCAATGTAGTGTTGTTGATAGTCTAAATTGTAGGAAAATTATCACAAAAAACAAGGGATTAGAAGAAGAAACGAAGGGAAGGATATTCTACAAGTTTCAAGGCCAATTCCACCGCTACAATAAAAATGGCCCTTTGCAAAATGGGAAATGCAACTTTCGTTAATTATATGTTGTTATTAATTAACATCATTGAGATTTGAAAATATTTTTTAAATGCATGTTGCTAATGTCCTTTTTTCCAACGTTTCTTGATTGTTGCGAAAAGCTTATATATTTCGCATTTTTTCCAACGTTCAATGAATATCGTCAAAGCTTCATACTATAGCAACTTTTCTTGCATGTTGCTGAATAATTAATATACGAATCTTTTGCAACGTTCATTAACTGTTGTGTAAATATACACTTTAACAACTTTCACTAGTTGCTAAATATCAGTTAGTCTAATTTCAGTTAGGTTGTGAATGACATCAATCAAACTTGTGAATGAACAATTCCAGTTAGGTTGCATCATGCTACTTTCTATGTTTATTCTGTTGTTTCGATCTAAATTCTCCTCTTTTCATTGTAGTAAAATATTTCTATGTTCTATTTCTAATTTTTGTTTCGTCTTTCATATGGTAGTTTTAGCCCCTGCTTGGTGTTTGTGATTTGAAGGAAGGATCAAGGTGTCGGTGAAGTCGCATTTGATTTATTATTGAATTCTATAATATTGAAAATGTTAGCATGGGAATGTTGATAGAAAATATCTGAGGTTTTGTTCTTTACTAAAATAGATTATTCAGTTAAATAATGAATTTGATTTTATTGGTGTTTTAAAGGTCACTTTTGTATGGATTCAAAAAATCGTAATGAAATTATTATCAATTTTGTCGGTTAATTTGTGTAAATTGCTGTATAAATAGAGAAAAAAAAAATGACCAACGTAATGGTCAAAAAATGCTTTAAAAACTAATTAAAAAAAATTGACCTTTAGCAACCGTCAAAAAATGTAGTAAAAAATAAGAATAAAAGTATAGACAATGTGCAAAAATTGTTGCCAAAGATGACAACTACAACAATCAACGAACGTTGTGAAAAATCTAAACAAAATAGTCAATGAATCTTGCAAAAAATTTAAACACAATATTCAATGAATGTTGCAAAAGTAGTTTAAGAAAACGACCAACGAACGTTGAAAAGAAAAAAAAAAAAAAGACAACGTTCTCTAAAGATATTTAGCAACGATATTGGAATGTTGTCGTATCCTAAAACTCCACGATAATATCGAAACCCGCAACATACTCTTGAACATTATGAAAGCTTTTAAGCAATGTTTTTTGCCGTTGTGTGTGTGTGTGTTTAAAACGAGATGGAAAATTGAAACTAGGTGTAAATATGGTAACTGTTGTTAATTGTACGTTTATCGATGAATGATCATTATATCCTGCAACTTAGTTATTATGATTATTGCATCCCTTACCGTCATAATTCTTTCTTATGAATGCGAGGCTTTAGTCTCAATAAAATATATGCATGTCTAGTGACTTTTTGTTTTCTTTGTTTTTTCTATTTTATAACACATTATCAGCACGATATTCTATAATTCAATCTTTAGCCATCCTAATTTTTGTTTTCCAAGGTCTGAAGGTAAGAAAAAAATGTAATAGGCCTTATGACTTGAAACAGACATGCAAGAATTGTGACGCCACCTATAGATTGTGCCCGTCATTATCCTAATTTTATGTTTAAACTTTCTATTTGTTAAGATTATGATTGCGATTTTACTTGTGCATATAATGATGTTTTTGAACAACTTCATATTCCAATGATTTGACAGTGATTTCAATGTGTTTGCTAATAGGATATGTCACACTGAGTGTCTATGTATATACATTGACACACACAAAATCATGCACGAATCTAAGAATTTCAATTTGTGTCTTATAACTTTGTGTACATATAAATTTATAGAAAACCCAAAGATTTAATAATTTATTGGGTAAATGTGGAATGTGGTTCTTTATTACCAGCCGAGTCCAATTTCAATTTTTTACACATACAAAAGAAAATAAGAACTGTATAAAATTTATATTTAAAACCCATTCAATATCACAATAAACACCACCTAAAGAACAAGCACATGTTTAGTGAAAATGGAAACAAGCAAGAATGAAAGTATGAAATAGAACAGAAAGAAGATGGGTTACTTCATGTGTTTAATGTTAGCATAAATTCATACTCATAGCCCCCAATTTGGCTTCCATTCTTGTCAAATTTTAATAGTTGAAATAGTGTTTTTTTGAAAAATGTGTGGATGAAAAAGAATGAAAAGTTTTTTATTTGCCTATAATATTATTTTATATAAGATTGTGTGATTGAAAATAAGAGAGAAAAAAGAATGAGAAGGAGTATGAGAATGAGAATGAGGGTCAAACAATCTAATAAAGTGTAAATAAAAATATGCAATCAAACACACATACATACAATACCAGATATGAATGTTGATTCTATTAATAAGGGTGAAAAGTTGAAGACGAAAATTCACTATGATCCCATAAGAGCGAAAGACAATTTTATTGTAGTGAACACTTATCGATAAATCTAAAATTCCTCTCTTTTAATTCAATGTTTTGGGCTTTATAGTGCCATGCTAAGGATAATGTAGGGATTAAATTTGGGGGTGAAAAATCTAAATTTTCTTATAATTCAATCTCCATGAATGATTTGTATGATTATTAATCTAGGTTTCATTATGAACTAAAATTATTATTATTTTTTAAAAGGAAAACGTTCTTACCTTTTAATATTATTGTAAAAAACGTCCATACCTTTCATTTTTGGTACTTTTACCCTTATCTTTACATTTTATTGTGAAAATCATCATTTTCATTAAATTTCTCTTGTAAAATGACTAATATGCCTTTTATTTAAATAAAACAATAAAAAAGAAAAGAAAAGTTAAAGAATAAATTGCAATCATATTCTCAAACTTTTTAAAAAAGTGTAAATGAGTTCAAATAAATTATTAAAAGGGCAATTAGCATAAAACATTCCTATCTTTCATTATTATTGTGCAAAACGTCCATACCTTTTATTTTTTGACGTTTTCACCCTTATTTTTATATTTCATTGCAAAAATCATTATTTTTACCATTTTCTCAATTAAAAACTCTAAATTGACAAATATACCCTCATCTTTAAATAAACAAAAATAAATTATCTCAGAATCTTTTAAAACTATAGTATGCATATTAATTAATCACTAGTCACATAATTCGAACTTGAGAAATATTTCAATCTAATCAAGCAATCAACAATCTCGTCACTGACTATGGAATGATGGTTTGGTGTCTAATTCAAAGGTTCACTCCGTCTTTAATGATGGTTTGGTGTCTAATTCAAAGGTTCACTCCTAAAGACGGTAATAAAAGTGCAAAAAAATCTATTTGTACATCACTTTTTTCACATCAATTTTCCCACTCCTCTCACAAAGTTGGGGTCTACGATTATTTTAATCGTGAACCCCACCCACTTGCATGTGTGTGTGCTGTGAAAAAAAGTGTAAAAAAAAGTGTACATGTAAAATGTTGAATAAAAGTGACACGCGGTACAAAAATCAAGTGCTATGATAAATTTGAAACATGTGGACAAAAGTCAAATGTCGAAAAAAAGGAGGGCAATTGACAATTGAAACTAAAGTAGGCATTTGTCTAGCGAGAAATTTTGAGAAACGATTTAAGGGGCCTACTGTGATAAACATACATAGTCATGGTCAGATAATTATGTATGTGTCTTAAAAAAAATAAAATAAAATAAAATAAATAAATAAATAAATAAATAAATATATATATAGTCATGGTCAGATGATTATGTATGTGTCTTAAAAAAAAATAAAAAAAAAATAAAATAAATAAATAAATAAATATATATATATATATATTGTTATTAATGGAATACACAAAAGAACAAGGACAATTTAGGATAATGCAGAAGCCTAACATCGCATGACATGCTTTGGAACGACGAGCAGTAGGCGAGCCACGGATACTAGCTTTTTAGTTACGGAACAAGTGATCTATCGAGTTTCCAATATTTCGTTGTTCGGGTCCACTATCTCCAGTTACGGTTCGGAATGACGCGAC